GAGGCCAATGCAGGCCCTTAGAGGCCGGCGTCGGGTCTTCAGCAGCCAGTGCGGGGCCCTCATTGGCACCTAAAGGTTCGTCTTGGGACACCACAGACAGAAATAAGGCCACCAGAGACCGGTGTGAGACCCTCAGACGCCGGTTGGGACCCCTGAGGCCGGTCAGGGGCCCTCATAGGCCAGATATGGGGTCTCAGAGGTTGATGTAGGCTCTTAGCGGCCAACGTGGGCGCTTGACCGCCACTGAAGTTCCCTCAGAGGTCAGTGTAGGACGCTCAAAGACCGGTGTGGGAGCTATATTAATAGCTGGGCGTGGGTTTTTTTAGCCTCGTGACGATCGAATAATTGCCAGGGCCCCATACACCTATATGGGGGCCCATTGGTTTTTTGAGGGGGGGGGGGGGCAAATGATATGATGGCCCCCTTTATTGACCTTTGGGGGGGCATGGCCCTGATGCCGCCCCCCCCCCCCGCGACCGCCACTGTGTACACATTACACACATATATGCCTCTGAGATTACATACTAGCTCATGCAAACTCTATGCAGGCCCCGGAGTTCCCACGCTAATCCTTAAGAAACCAAGCCGGCATACTGCGTCACCACCGGGCTTCTGAGGTACACAGCACCAACCCATGAGGTCTTACTTTAGTGTCTTAGAGCCAATCTCCTTTAGCAGGGCCCACCCACCACTGCCGAAGAGGGTCTCATGCCAGCCATTGCTGGGCCTACGAGAGCCTCAAGTAAACCCACGCTGATATTCCATATAAGATCCGGCCATACTCGTGAACCGGTGCCAGCGACGCTGACCGCCAAATTGACAGAATGCGAAACTGAGCCCACTCATGAGTGAAATTTATGTCCTTTGATGGCGCAAGAAAGAAAATGAAACATACGAAAAGCTTTTCTAGGACTTTTGCTCGATCTGAAAGGTGGGGCCAAAAGATAGTATGGCCCCACCTTTCAGCACCAAAGGGGGGGCCATGGCCCCCGTGGCCCCCCCCCTGGGACCGCCAGTGCAGCAAGATGAGCTCCCCGACGATGAAGAGAATTTTCCAGCTTCACTAGGCGAATCAGCGCAGATTCGTAGTTGCTTTTCAGCTGCGGTTCGTTTTCTCGCCATGGTACTGCAACTTGATATCTACTTCCTTGTTTCTTCAATGAACTTGCAGCTTTCTTCATAGCCACTTTTTCTTCAGCTGACAGAAGATTGGTCTCGGTGGTCTTGACGTCCAGCACCTCCAGATCTGTCATCGCTCTCATTGCTTGAATTTCTTCGTTTAGTGACTTATCTGTCAGGCAAGTTCTCAAGGTTCTTGCGACGTTTGTCATGCTCTTCAGCTTTTGTAGGTTAGAAGGATCTTCATTGTCTTGAACGCAGCCGAATGCTGTCCATCCAAGTGGCGTTAGGACAGCGACTGGGCTCGAACTCTCGCCGGAGACAGTCTTCAGAGGCACAAAGATGGGCATTGTCTCAGGGCTAAGACCGATCAGTAGGTCCACTTCCCTTCCAGCCATCTTTGGAAAGGGGATGTCTACCATGTGTGGCCAACGCTGCTTCACATCCTGCCAGCTCGTACATACGGAGGCTCCTTCCAGACTGGGAATGACGTGAACATCTAAGGACGTTTCAAACCTACTCTGGGTAGAGGCTATCCGGACAGCTCCTGACGTCATTTTCACATCCGTCTTGCCATTGACCGTCCCAAGCTCAAATTTGACTTCTTCTCCTTGTAGTCCGAGCTCGTCTGCAGCAGCTTTACTTATGTAACTGGCGTCAGAGCAGGGATCTAAGAGTGCGTTCAGCTTCAGAAATCGATCCTGACAGTGCACTAATACCGGGGCCGTCTGAAACGCGACTTTTCCACTTCGCTTCTCTTGTCTCTGGGCAGCGGTATTAAAACTTGCACCGGGAGCCGCGGACACCTGTGCACTGCTTGTTGGAGCACTATCTTCTTTAGCACAAGCGCGGCCCTCGACCGTTCTCGGAATGAATTCCTTGGCCTGGCTGCTGAGTGTCGGAGTCCTGTAAGACGGTCGGGCTACTTCAGGTGAGTTTCGAGAGTTTCCACCTCCACTGGCATGCAGGAGGCTGTGATGAGTGCCACCACAGCCCTCAACAGCACAGCCGGGAAACCTGCGGCAGTTAGTTCCCCTGTGCTTGCCACGCAGACATCTAAAGCACAATCCTTCGGTTTTGCAGAATGCATATCTTCTAGCAACATCCCAGTTCTGTAGTTCAGCGCAATCTTCAGTCGCGTGTTCTGCGTGACACACTGCACATTTCAGCCGACTGAAGACATGCCGGCTGGCCTGCCTTGTGGCAGCGTACGTCTTCTTTGTTCCGCGGCTATGCATTCTAGGTCTTGGCTCATCCTGCTCGCTACTGGCTGCTGTTGCTTCCTTGGCTCTTTTTTCCAGCATGACTTCTTCAGCTAATTAAATGTATTTTTAGTAAAAATCTTTTTTCATTTCTCGAGCAGCTCACGCTCGAGCCTCATTGATATAAAATCCTCCCAAACAGACGGCTTTCTTACAAAAATGTGCAGCAGCACTTACACAGAGAAGTAACCTTCATCCACGTAACAATGAACAGAATTCTCAAACATCATACCAAAAGTAAGTTTCTATTTTATACAGTCCCCCAGTAACGCATGGTAATCAGATTAGTTCTTTATACGGTCTGCGTGCCAGCCCTGGTGAATGGCGCCGGAGTGGCTCGCTGTCGGATGGTGCGAACCTCTATTCGTCGCCACCCAGAAGTGGCTGATTCCTGGACACGTCCCTGTGAGTAGATTTGCGCCGCGAGCGTGACCATGAATATTCTCTGCGCTGATGAGACGACCAATCCTGATGTGCTCTCCACGCAGCTTCTTGTTTCATTCGCCAAGACGCAGATTCCTCACATTTTACTTCTAAATGTCACCTTGTGTAAAACGACTTCATATTAATATTTTTACAAATTTGCTTTCAAAATCACACCCATGTGATCGAAAATTGAGCTGGCGCTGCGCCCCAATAGTATCGGCTTCTCTCTGCTTTCTACGGCCTCTCTGACAAAATCCACTGGCGCATAGTAATCAACCAGCCTAGTGTTCGCTCAAACAGGCCATTCACAGGCGCTAACCAATATAATGTCTTAATAGCTGTTTTAATCAGTCGCCAGCTCCCGTAGGCGTCTGAGTCGCAGCTGCTGTAATCACTGAGCTATTGTCCCGCCGCGATAGCCGCTTACGTCTCGTCGAGTGGAGAACCGAACGGGGTCTGATGTGTGTGTGGGGCGGCGGCAAGCGATAGAGAGACACAGAGGCGACTAAGGAATACGAGGGATAGATATGGGAGAGAGCGAGGGAGGGAGAAGGAGAGAGGAATAGAGAGAGAGAGAGAGAGAGAGAGAGAGAGAGAGAGAGAGAGAGAGAGAGAGAGAGAGAGAGAGAGAGAGAGAGAGAGAGAGAGACAGAGAGAGACAGAGAGAGGGATAGGGGGTTCGGTCGAAAAGATAATTTTTTCTTTAAAATACATGATTATCAACTAAAACTAATTGTAGTGCTTATGCCATGCTTATCGCAAATACACACTACACATAATGAAGCAGGTGAAATTTGAGAATAGCAATTCATCATGAGGAAAAGCCACGAGGAATCCCCGTTTTACGATGATAAGTAGGTATGTATATTGTATATCTATAATCAGCAGCGACTTTTCTGTATGGCACCAACTGAAAGGTTCCACCTTTCCAACTGATGCTGAAATCGTAATGGGTGCACCCGGTGGACCACTCGTGATATTCATCGAATTTAAATCTTGTCGGAAATTGCGCTTGGTATTCCATTTCAAGCGGACGCAAGGCAGCGGATACGAAATGCATGACCTCCTCTCAAATGTTAAGCGATATCGAAATTCCCCCGAGTTCTCTTCAGGTAACCATTGCTCAAGCCTGAAGGACAGAGGGCCACATCTCGCAGAAGCAGTCTCGGCGGTAACTTGATCGGGTTGTTTGCTCAGAACACAGAGCCAGAAGTCATCCCGGCTGGGCATCTTTTGCTGTGTGTGTGTGTGTGTGTGTGGAGGGGGAGGGGGAACGGAGGAAATGTATCAAAATCTCTAAAAGTACTGGAGAAGTTTAAAAAATACCGGAGAAACTTCGAGCTGTTCGGTCCCTGATCGTGCTGGACCTATGCAGAAAAAAAAACGAGCGTGCTTCCCGTGACGAGAAAAAGCCGATGACACTCATTGTTAATGTCGCAGGACAACCCACATTCACTAGACGTTGCCAAGCAACTGGGGAAGAGCGAGGAGTCGGTTTTCTGATCGAGCCTTTAGCGGACAAATCTGGCTGATAAGATGTAGCCAGAACCTATGTAGTTACAAGATTTCAGAAAAAAACGTTGCCTATTCACAGATATGCACTTATTCTGATCATCTTTCGATCATTCTTCTGATTCTATTCATCTTCTTATGACACTTCTGATCTTCTGGCTTCTAAACAGAAAATGAATATAAGATCCGATTCTATGGATCTTTATTAGGAGCAAGACAAGTTCAAAGATTACGAAGTCTCATGCCAAGAAACACGCTACATAATGATGCACATTGCACACTTGTATCTGCATGTTTCTTGCGCACTTCCTACATGGACGTAGAGCGCACAAATGCTTAGAGCTACGTAATCCCCTTTGTTGCCTAACAATTTCCTGTCGTCTGCCAGTCAGCATCCAGCTCATCTGTGCGTGTTTCCGGATCGAGGGACCATCTAGGGGCCGGTCTGTGTGTAGGCGCGTGGCGCGCGGCCCTTCGCCCCTTCCCCTGTCAGCGGCGGTCGGCCAACGCTGTCGACACGGCCGTAAAATCAATTGCTGAGGCCGGGTGTCGCGGCAGGGCGGGCCGGGCGCGGCGCGGACGGCCAGGGCGCTCGTGCGGGGGATGAGGCCCGGCTGGCAGCGGCGCGCGCGGACGCTGCCGACCGCCAGCCGACGCAGCGCGACCAGTTGATCGCCGGCCTCGACGAGAGTCGCGGCTACCTCCGGCGACGTGCAGGGCCCGACGCAGCACCTCGCCGACGGAGCTGGGTACAGGATGAGGGCGCAGCTCGCCTGCCTCAGCTGGTACTGTCTGCTGACCGGTGAGTAGAGCATGGAGAGCAAGGGTAAATGAAAGTTTCTCGGTTAAAAGATCGGGTCGGAGGTCTGGCTGAAAGGGGTTGGAGGCTGCGTAAATTATGGGGAGGAGGCTGGGTAAATGATCGGAGTGGTGGTTCGGTAAATGATCGGAGCGGAGGATGGGTGACTGATCAAGACGGAGGCTGGGTCGGATCGGTTCGGAGGTTTGGTTTGCTTGGGTCGAAGGCTGGGCAGATAATCTGGGTGGAAGATGGTGGATGATCGGGGCGGGGATGGGTAAATTATTAGATCAAAGGCTCAGCCAATCGTAGCAGGACGGAGACTGGGTAGTATGGGCAGATTCTTGGGCCAGACGCTGAGCAAAGTTGATCAATTCGGAGGGATGTTGTTGATGTTAAAAGTGAAAGTGATCAGTGACCCATATGCCAGAGTCATCCAGACAAGCAAAAGCCAAGTCTCGACGGAGCATCAAGCTAAGAGCATAAACACGACGTCCGCTGATGAGACGTGGTAGTCATATTGCTCTTCGCTGTTCACTGCGCAGTATGCAAGGTTACAAATGTACCTATTACCGATGGACTTATCTCCATATGGGACCTAGATATTTTATTGAAACTTTACATTACGTCAAGTTAAGCAGAATATGCAAGAGGCGCTGCTTGATAAACAATTACATATAACAATTACATAAAATACGCTTAAGTTTGCCCAATCCACCATCTTTCCACATCAAATTCAATATTTCTATATTGTATTGGAGTGGAAAAAGTCAAACCAGCAAAAGTTGTACCTTGACCCTCGCCTTGGCAGGGCATTTTTCATAACGCGGCCTGCAGTCGATGCGACCCCCCCCCTCCCTGGTGTTTCGAAACTAAGCGTCGTAGCGCTTCGCAACATAGACCAGTCGACGGTTCTCAACGAGTACTCGCAGTTGGTGGTATTGTTTTTGACCCTAGGTCATTATCTGACCCAGTTATGGCAGGTCAAGGGTCAAATTTCAAGGGAAAGCTTACAACTTTCTAAGTTACTATGCCAATATTGGCGAATCTGTGAAAGATAGCGACATGAAACTTTCACGACCGTGTTCCTCAACGAATTATTAGCAACAACATGATGTATAGTTGACCGCAGTTCAGTCATTACTGGCGTGACGTAGTCCTCGGGAACACGGGATGTCACACCGCCGCCAACGAGGACGGTCCTTATTGACCTGGATTGACCTTGTAAAGGTCAAGGAACAGCTTGGAAGGCGTTTAGGTGAAAATTGAGCCACAGATTCGGATTCAGGACCCAAGAAACCCCACGGTGTGGTCGGTTGACCTTAGAAGAGACTTTAACCTAGCCTTGACTTTAGTTCAACATCGAAAGTTGACCTTTTTCATACAAAAGGTTTTTGCTGGACGCATCTGAACATGACGAACACGATCGTAACAACATTGCGGCTCTGCGACAGTTACGGTGTAGGTAAGTATTTACAAAAAAAAAAAACGGACTCCTACGTCGCGGCCTTTGAACTGAACCAGAGGTCATCAATTGACCTAAGCCCTTAACATTGATTGACTGATGTGGCGTCTCGTTACGAAACACACGCTTGTTTTTCCGAAAAGCTCTGTAGCTCAATTTGGAGCGAATCAGCGGCGGGGGCTTGTACCCTTCGACCGTGCCCCCCCCCCCTTGACCGTGGGTATGTAATAAGCGATGGAGGCTTGGGTGAGCTAGCGGATAGCGACTCAACCAAACCACACCGCCCGACGTGTGCAATCCAATCATTTTATTGACCATTTTTCGCAGCTTAACAGCTTTAGGTTTAGGCATTCAGACATTCCATTAATGATCAAAGGCCTTACATGATCATTTGACAATAATTTTCGGTAGCATCTACGACTTATTTATTCAACCGGGATCACAGAAAAATAAATAACGTCCGCCAATGCTCCCTCCCGTTGGGCTGTTCTGCTCGCTTCTTTTAGACCGGATGCAGCTCATGCTTTTGACAGGACCGGAGAGTTGAGGGCAGATCTCCGGCGAGCCCCTCTCCGGAGCAGCGGGCTCTCGGTCGTTTTTGTCGCGCGCTCACGATAGCCGCCTCTTGGCCGGCTTCTCATTTATTCACATTTCATCTGCTGCCGCTGCTTGACTGCTGAGGGCGACGCTTACAGCCATCCATCTTCAGCGAGCGCCAGCTCACAAAGGACAGTTCGCCGGCAGCACCGTCAAGGACGCGGATATTTCCCCCAGCTGATCGGCGGCTCCGATTTTTCTGTTCCGTCAGAGGCTCGCTGTTGCCAACAAATTTACGGCGGAGTTTGCCGCAAATTTACGGCGGAGAGAGTCGTCCAGTGCCGCAGTTTATCAGTGGCGCTCCAAGTGGGAGACTACTTCTAGAATACAATACGGATGCTAAGATGTGAATAATAAACACTTTTCAGATCAGCAGATACCGAGAAGAAGGCAAAGAACACTATGCAATCCAGAAACGAGGCAATGACGTCATTTTACGCCAATTGACGATGCATGTGCTGGATTTTATTTGTCGTCTGGTCCCTTGTCTCAGGCCGAGCTGCAGAAAGTTATAAGTTCTGTTTGACGTCTCCGTCTCAGGCCTTAGAGAAGTGCTCGATTAATGCTCACATGTTTTGTTTGTTCTTCCCTGTAGATAAACAAGTGCTAAGTCTCCATTTAGTTCGTGCGAGCTGAAACAGATGTGATGTTAAATACCACCTTAGTCAGTCAGATCAATCCATGCAGCTGATTCAGCAGCTGGGTGCGCTACATTTTTAGAAATTGAAAGAAACGATCAAAATCAGGACAGAATGTAGAATTTCATTACAACACTTAGCAATTTTGAAATGATTGTCCGCAAAAATACATCTTTTTCTGCAATGCTATTGATCATTTTTCCGATTTCTACCGGGTGGCCCAGAAAAAAAACGTTGCCAACTTTGAATCAATATTTCTCAGAAAGTGATAAAGATGAACCACGGAAACTTCCAATAGTCAATGCGGCATATCTTTTCAGTGAATGGTATGATTTTTATGTTATTCGGTCAATTACTTTTTAAACGGTTCGTGTTTTTAGCATGCCATGTAAAAATTACTTTTTTGCTCAGATGTTTACTAAAAAATGTGAGTGAACGGGCCACTTCCATCTCGGCACCACGGCCTGCAGCCATGACTGCTACTGGCAGCTAGTCTCAGTGATGGTTCAGGCCAGAGTATATAGAACACCGGGTACAGTCAGAGTTTGGGATATGGTAGCAGTCAAATGTCGACAGAAATGGCGAACAAGTTACAAATAGAGGTAGGTTTATTCCACTGTTATACTTCCTCTTGAAAACTGTTGGCACACATGACGTCATAGAGTAAAAAGTCCCCTTTTAAGGTCATTAAGACGAATTTTTGACATTATTAAATAACAAAATTATATTGTGTTACCTGTTTTTTCTTACATTGTTCCAACAATCATTTTTTATTATCTCTATTGGCCAATTATTTGTTGATTACGTCATCTGGGGCCGCGAGTCGGCGAATGCAGTCGGTCGGAAAAAACACGTGTTTTCGGCGGCCGAGGTAAACAAATTACAGTATAGGTAGCTTTGGGTGATATGCTATTTCTATTATTGAAATCGCGTGTCCTGCCGTCAGTACTTTTTCGTCGCAGTGATTTTCACTTTTAGAATTGTCTTCAATAATTGTGGTATTCAGTTCTGCCTCTGATTTGCAATGGCAATTACTATTTGAAGTGAAGAAGGCCTTGTTATGGCCCTGCACAACCTCGCTGAAAAGTGAAACTGAAACGGCTGGAATTGGAATAACAGTATTGCAAGTTGCAACTGGTTTCAAATTATTCTTCAAATTTCCTCGAAGTCAGGCTTAGACCTATGAATAACATCAGATTTGCAAGCATGTTCAAACTGCTCCGTTAATCTCCAGAACATCAGGCTCTCTTCTGATGCTTACAATGCCTGTGGCTGCAACATTATATTGCTAAGAATGGCAGTTCAGCAAGATGTATGTGCAGGCAGAGGCACTTAGCCAATGCACAATGCAGTGCAGATTAATTGTGGTGTGAATTTTGTGTGGATCAGTGCACAATGCGTGCCATGATGTACATAAATGCCATGCCGAATGGCTGTGCCTTGATATGAGCTGACACTGTTGAGTGTTGATGCAATGCTATAATGATATAATGCTATATCTAAGAAATTTTCAGAAGGCAAATGAGACATCATTGAATATTAGTGTAGTTTCCATATAAGTGCAGAGTTCCCAAACTTGCAGCCTTTTTTTCGTGTGATTGTGCACATTTCCAGCCTATGTGCGTGCTAGTGCGGAATACTTAGTTGCTAGATTGGCTGGCACAGCTTGTCAAGTGTCAACTCTGTGGTAAATGTGAAGATGAAGTCCAGTGAAGATTTTGAACATCTAACCTGACCTAACCTTACCTTCTAACTCAAAGCTTTCAACCTACCAATATACTACCTATGAACCCACCAGCCTAAAACCTACAACCTAACTCCTACAACCTACCAAATTCAAGTCTACAATCTGGACTTCATCTACTCATATATCAACTCTATTGCCTGATAGTCTTTTCTTGTTTCACACAATCTTATGGTCTGATATGTCTTTCTGAAGCAATACCTAGTCAAAGAATGTGATAATTTAAGTAATTTTGCAGTTTGCACAAATGGAGATAAATACATTTATGTATATGAGTGTTTTTGAGCTAAGTTGTGTTTCAGTGGTGATAAATGGAATGCTGTCATCATCACATTGCATTGCCACCATGATCAAAGGCATTAGGAGCATTAGGAGACAGAAGTATTGACTATTGAGATGAGCCATCCATTTGTGTTTTTACCAATGCATTACCTTAGGCCTTTAGGGAAAAGTGATCAAAAGTTGTTGAGTGAAGGGGAATATGGAGAAGAGCATTTATTGTTTGTTTTTGGGAAGAAGAAAATCAATTAAACTTATGAAAAAGAAGTGATCATGCATT